AACTTTAAATTCTAGGTTTCTTTTTAAGAGTAATTTAAAACAATTTTTTCAATAGTATTCCATAATTCATAACTCTTTTCAGTCTTGTAAGTCGATGATTTTTACAGATTTTGATTTTTAAATCTTAGATTTCTTAATATTATTTTATTTTATTTTCCTTTTTCGATTCTATTTTTTATTTTTTAGCTATTTATGGGATAATTACAGGACCCTTTTGATAACAGTTCTTTTTATTAGAACTGATAGGTTATCCTGTATAAATATTCGCGTTATTATTATCATTATTATTATTATTATTATTATTATTATTATAGGAAGGGCGATTCTTTTTTAATTTCCGTTTCGCTGACACAGCTTTAGCAGAAATCTCTCTGTAGTCGTTTTCGTCGACCAAACGAATAGCAATATCGCTCTCCGAATCTTTCGCCATTTTGTTCTGCGTCAATTCGTGAAGGACGCGTGCCTCTTAACGTGGGTCATCCACGCGGAACACATTCGCTCTATGTGATTGGCTTCTGTCTAATCCCCCTTGAGATCTGTTGTGTTAAAAATAACTCGAGACGAATTACCTATGAAATAGGGTGTGAATGGGGGATGCCCTCTTTGTCCCCTTTATCCTCTCTTGATATTACGTATTACATATTGGGGTAATAGACGAATATGTAACATATTGGTGTAACAGTCCGAAATCTACAAGGGGAGAGGTGATAATCCTCCCTAAGGGTTGATAATCCCCCAGGTTAGTGAGAGGTGATAATCCTCTCTAAGGGGTGATAATCCCCCACGATAGTGAGAGGTGATAATTCTGAGTCTCTCTGGGGGTTGATAATCCCCCAAGGTTGTGAGTGGAGGTGATAATATCCTTGGGTACTGGAGAGGTGGAAAGACCTCTCTAGATGTCTAATTCCCCGGTTTAAGGAGTAACAAGAGACTATGGGACAAAGTGTGACCTGTATGGGAGCACTTCATCCCGAACCCATGTTTATTAATCGCCAACAACTCTCAATACAGATATCATTGCTGCCCGTCAGGAAAAACCCTCAATTATTTTCGAGGGAAACCTTTACCCCCCCCGGGAAAGCAGAGCCAGACACTTAACATAAACCTCGAGGGAGAGAGATTAGACGAAAATATATTAATAAAAGTTGTAAGCAAATGACAATTAAACTTTTATCAACTTAATAATCAAAATAAGACCCAAAGTAACTAAGCGACAAGCACGATGGGATGCCTGGTAGAATGATTCCCGTCAGTAGAAACCTCCTCTCTTTTCTGCCATATCTTCTTAATAATGGCCAATTGATTCAAAGTGTAAACAACAAAGATCAGTAGTTCGTATGACTGCAAAAAGGATAAGCAGCTTCTTAAATTTTTAAGCAAGAGAAAAGACCTCATATATAAAACCTTAAGAAAACCAGCAGAGAGAATCAAGCAGTGATAAGGAAGGGTGGGATGGGAGTTTGTTCCACGAAAAGAAGAATATGAAGTGCTATTTTGCTGAGCTAGGCTCGAAAATATACGCATCAACTGTTCATGTGATAGCTGGCATCTAATTTACCAACTTGCATCAAATGCTCTTTTATATTTTAGAATCTGCATTACATCTTGAAGCACAATTCATTCAAAAGAAAATAATACTTGCAGCGTCAATAAATATTTTCTTTTAAGTGTCAAGTTGAAGGAGAGTCTCTTACTTCCTGGCGCCAGTTGTTCAAAAGGCGGATAACGCTATCCACTGGATAAATGTCTATCTCAACAAGATACCTAACAGCAATTGGTTTCCCTAAAATTTATCCGCTGGACAGTGATTTATCCGGTGAATATAATAGCTATATATACCCAGCGTTTAAACAACCGGTGCCTGAACTCTGAGGGTTGTCCAGCACTAACTTTGGTGGTCTTAGTTTCGCATGTAGCGTTCTCTTGCCCGTGCGAGTAGAGGTTTCTCTCTTCAATCAAATCAATCAATAAAGCTTTATAAACGGTATCACTTCATTAAAAATGCTCTTCCAGTGAGCCGTTTACATAACAAAATTTTCAGAGAAACTACGTTAATGCTAAAATATATCTATATATTAAGAAAATCTATCCTATAATTAATTACACAAAAATCAATCAACCTTAAAGGTACATTAAATGACTAAAATCAAATTCTGTCTCAACTCCCTCAAGGCAATCCCTGGTTCAAGACAAAGATAGGTCAGACTTGAAAGAGTTGAGATTTATCTCGTCTTTAAGCACATTTTCTAGGCCATTCCAGGCTCTTAGCCCTGATGTTCCCTTCATAGCTCAAGGAGGGAGGCGTATGCACCCATTTGCTAGGCTCTTGTTCCGAGGGTTCAAAGAACGAGACATGTAAATGTGTGGCGTTCTTGCTTTGCAGCACTTTGTCTTGTTTCACGGATTAAAGAATGAACGAAGCATACATTATACTAGTGTACTTTCCTTGTTTCACAGGGCTCTTGTCTCGTTTCATGGCTTTAGCGTGTTTGTTACGACTCATGGCTTTAAGCGTGCCAGTCTCGAATTCGACTCGAGTCAGGACCCGGGGGACTCAGGGCTTTAAAAACGAGTTATGTTACGTATGTGGCGTGCTTGTTTCGACTTAACGCTTTAAGAACGAGTTATGTCATAAACGTAGGCTCCGAGATCGCAAAGTAATTCAGTTTTCAATTTGTTTTGTTCATTTGTACTGCTTTCAAGTATCAATATCTTGAAAATGACTGCAGACCTAACTACACTGCTTTCACAGCCGGGTAAAAACGGAGAAATTCGATAAAAAAAGCTGGCCTCTAGACATATTCGTATTATTGCTATGCATAATCATTTCTATTCATTTATCATTTAAATTACATTTATTTGTTTATTTATTTACGTCCAACACGAATTTCTTAGCGCAGAGGCATGGTTACTATACCTGGCCTGGTTTTATGTATGGCGGGTGGACTGGGTTGCCGAGCAAAAACCTAACGACAAAACAAAATGGAAACCCTGATCAGTTTTTTTTGTGTGTGTGGCCAGAATCTGAAGTTCACTCTGATTGGTCGATAAACAAATACGAAAGAAGCAGTTCTGTTTTTGAGTGGCAGAAGATAGGCATTAAATTCCGAAAGTAACGTTCAAAAAATGGCGCTAATTTTCAAAGTAAGGACAGAATGCTTCGTGAATTACTGCATTGTGGCCTGTGGCTGCAGGTACCCTGGCTCCTTATTGAAAAAAGGGAAGAATAACGGACCAAGCGCAAAATGAAAATAGGCGAAAGAGCTGGACGATTATTTGCGCTGTTCGCCCTGCCTACAGGCCCCATTGCATGCTATGTGCTCAAAGAAGAAGTGCTCCAGAGCGTGGGTGCATTCATGGAGGAAGAAAAGACAGAGTTTTTTTTCTATAACGTTAACGAAAGGAATTACGTATACAGGGCTCAAATAAAGAACTGAGAAAAGACCTGGAGGAACCTGTCGGAACTCTGACAACAAGTGTTATACATGAAGGGCCCAACCCTGTGACGACCATTTAAAAGAAAGATTTCTTTCCCTTTTGTTTTTGTTTGTTTGTTTGTTTGTTTTTATTTGACATCCGCATTTCTCGTTTTCTCTTTGAAGTTCTCACTTATTGTTTTCTGCTATCCGCATTTTTTTCTATCCTCATTTTTCCATCCGCAGGTATGCGGTACGCGTTTTACAGACACTCCCTGACTGGATGGAATTACTTTAATTGGTAAAACAACGACAACAACAATAAGTACATGGCTGGACAAGAACAAGAAAAAATGGAACGCTTAAAATTTATTTCTTTTTTAGCTCTCTATTCGCAAGTTAAGCTCTCGCGGGATGTTTACACCTCACGCCACTAAATAATTAAGCTGACAACATTTTTGAACTTCTATGCCAAGAATAATATACTTGTCCCTAAAAAAACAAGACGGTGATATGCCTTTAAATTCCGTTAGATATGCTTGCAGTACAATGTATTTACAGTTAAAAATTGTTCGATATCAACAAGGCAAGATTTCTCCTTGAAAGCACGTTTTTCAAGGAGGAATTACCGGCTGGAAAGCAAAGAAAACCAACTCGATCAACAGAAGACTTGCCTTAATATTCCTTTTACAGCTTGCCTTACTTCTCTGATCTTCCAACAGTACAGTAAAGGGTTTAAGGATGAGTTCAAATAGACCAAAGTAAGAGTCCAACGAAGAGCAAGGTGAACGGATAAAGAGATCCCTCTTTGAACTGCTAAAATAAACACTATACCATGTGGCAGATAACAAAGAACCAATGTTACCTGCACCCACAGTGCACTGTACACCGCCTTTCTGTATCGAGGTATGTTCAATGAAATTGTTTGGCGCGGTTGTCCTTGAGCAAAAAAATTTGAAAATGAATATGATGACGCAGAGTGAAGAAGATTTTTGTGTAAGCGAAGATTGTGGTGACTAGACACAAAGCTAAACCTATGCATTGATACCATTCGGTTATAATTGGATTCCAAAAGTTAGTAGATGTTCCGAGGATGGACAAAATCCAAAAACCAATCACAGTTAAACGTGTTTTTTTCAAAGTTACAACTGGTCTGTATCTGAGTCCCAAAAACAAGGCGAGAAGTCTGTCCAAGCTTATTGCAGTCAATGTTAATAAAGATACTGAACACAAAACAGTGGCTGAAAAATGTTGTCCTCGTATTGTGTAGTAGCAAATATCCCATCTTTCTTTCACCACAGAAATCCAATAAGTCACAACTAAGGGCTCCGAAGTGATACCAACACAAAGATCAGTTATCGCTAGGTTACTATACAGGAGTTTGGACGGCGGATAAAGAGAATTTTCCTTGTGTAGAGCAACTAGGATCAGAGTGTTCCCCAGAAATGCAGTGATGGAAAGAAAAATATTTAGAGCTGAAAGGAGTAAAAGTTCGCTCTCTACACCTCTGACAAATTCAGCGGAGCAGAACAGTTCTTGGACAGTTTTATGGTTTTCGACTTCAGTAAAATTTTTCAGGGCCATTTTCCTCTTCGCCTCTTCGGTGCAAAGACCTGAAAGTGAGAGTTTTATTTATATAGACTATTTTAATTTGGGTGAAAGCTGATATCATTTCGACATCTCTACAGTCAATTAAGACTATTTACCTTGTCGCGTATTAATAAATAATGATCAGAAGTAAATTATAGAGTCATAAACGTACAAAACTATTGACTAAACGCAAAAAAAAAAGCTCACAGGGCGAAGAAAGGTTGAACTGACCGAACTATGATGAGCCAGGTGTTATGTCATAGGTGAAACTTAATTCCTATTTCAATTGGCTTTTTCTTTTTTCATGTCCCCTTTATCATTTTTCTAAGACATGTTCATTGCAATCTGGTGTATATGCGCCACGTACTGACCACGCGTATGGTTCATTGAAGATGACTGTAAAAGGATATCTACATGTTTACAACAACTAGAACCACTACGTGGAACTTACCGGGGCCCAGTGGGACACGGGATTGCATAGATATAGTTTACCTCTCGCACCCCTCCCCCCTCCTCTGTGGAGGCTAATACTTAGTCTGAATTTACTCATGCAGAAGAAAAGAAACAAAATGCATGAGAAAGGAGGATGTTGTTGGAAGTTTGTTCAGTGTTATTACAGCTAACGGTCTGTGTTATAGTAGTGTTTTTAGTAACACTGTGATGTCAATAAGTGTGATCTGTATAAGGTTTTCATTTGTTTTTAAGTTTGAGTGAAAAAGCAAAAATCACTGACAGTTTTGGGTTGAATGGTAATGACAAAGTTTGCAAAGAAGTTTGTTACAGAATTATCACAATTTCACATTTTCTCAAGTACGTTATCATCAGGTTTATCATTGAGATTTATTAATCACATTTATCTATTTTTTGCGAAAACACTGTGAATTTGAAATGATAACAGACATAAGACATTTTTGAAATAGATCTTTGTGGTCATGGATTGTTGTCTTGCACTGTAAAAATTGCCATCCAGTGTTATATATAGACATAATAAAATGCTTATTTATTGATGACTGAGTATCATTTGTTAATTCATTGCACATTGAAATGGAGGCACTTGATTGTAAGGCAGTGGTTGATACATAGTAGCATTCATCAATATGACCTATAATAATTGTAGAGGAAGTATTTCTTTCCTGAACTGGGTAAACAGTAGCATATCTGCAACTGCTTGAATGATAAGTGCATCAGCCCATGTACCTTGAATACACATATTACTCAGATATCTTAGCCATGAATTTTTGGTATTGCTCTCAATAAATCTCTCTGGATTATCTCTCATAAATTGAACCCCAGCAGTACGTATATGCATATGATGGTTGCTATTGCCATATAATCGATGTGATACAGATCTAAAGAAACAATCACCTGCACCGCCAACATCTATTGATTGTAAACAAAGTGCACCTAATCTAGACTTCATCAAATTCTCAGAGGAAATAGGAGAGTTCAACTGCATTGTTGAGCTGTGATTTTGCATAGAAGGTCTAATTATTACTTCATGATGATCAGTGTTGTATTGAGTAGGTCCTGAATTCTTCTCAACATCTTTACTTAGTTTGAAATTCACATAATTGGTCATATGACTCACACAATTGCAAGAAAACAATGATAAGTATCGACGTACTTTACATTTTAGTTTCATTATCCTGTGATAATGCCTGCTAAAGAAAGACAACAAATAAGCTTTCTTGGGTACAGCCATTTTATTTAAGTTAATTATCTTTGGATCGCGTTTGTTATTGCATTTATATCGTGCATGATAAAGTTTTCTCACCTTACTAACATAGCGATGGAGCTTTGAAGACCTCGGTATGTCAATCATTGAAATCTTTTTGAAGACAAATTTTGATAAGTGTTCGCTTTGATTCTCGATAAATTTCACGATGGAAGGTTCACTCAATTTCTCGATAAGTTTCACGATGGAAGGTTCACTCTTAAGTGATCGCTCGTAAATTTGTCTCTCCAAATATTCACTCTTAAATTTTCGCTCATAAACTAGTGCATCGTAAAGGTTGGGGAACGTGTCGTTTCCCAAAAAGCTATAATCTTTCTCTTGACTGTCGTACATGCCTCGTTCTTTTCAAAATGGCGGATAAGATTTCAATGAGCCCGCGATATATCTCAGTCAGCGATATATCCCTAACAATGTAACGTTGAAAAAACGTCTGCATTCTAAGACCGGTGCCAGCCTTCGGCTGGGCCCCGGTAATTAGCACTCAATTAGGGTAAAGGGAAATCGCACGAAAACGTCTTAACCATCTCAGTGCACGTGCTTTGTCGCGAACATTTTATTGGCTAATTCTTCTGTAATTATCACGCCTGTAATTATCCGACGATCCGTGTTTCAAACAAAAACAAAAGAGATGAGCTTTTTTTTTGTTCCTCAAAGCTTTAGTCAGGGTTTAGCAAAAACAACGTAGTCAATGTCAAGCCGACACCGAACTTTAATATGCCTGTTGAAACTAACCTCATTGACGATTTTAATGAGTTTTCAGTAGTAAAGGAAGTCCTAACAGTCGGCAAACACATCCAACTGTGTGGGCGGCGGTAATTTTCTCGTCTGTTATTTATGTTGTTTATAAACTGAGATGTAAAATGATAACTTCACCACTAACAACAACACTCGTTTCTTAATATAGCTTTATGACGGACATGTTAATTCCGATACAAATACGGTCGAAGCTCTGATCTCCTTGCGACCACTCTCGTTTCACAAGCAGCCAGCTCTAGTTACGATCAACTTTGTAAAACCCCTTTTGAACTGTGACTTAAAAACTTTGTAATGAAAAGCTCTCTTAAGCGACCACTCCTGCAAACGTCCGTGAGCACTTTTAGAATTAGGTACCCAACAAGACTTTTCCTCGTAAGCGACCACTCAGAGTCTTACTCACAATAATCAACACTTAAATCATGTTAAATGAAACTGCACACTGCGCTAATGGTTCGTTGATAAAGATCTTGTACAGTGCAGTATTTGTAAAAGTTCAAGGTCATTTCCGTAGCGACCACTTAGCTCGCCTTTTTTTCTTCATGAACTATTGATGAGTTTCTGAAGCTCTCGTAAGCAACCACCGTCTATTGTTTTACCATTCGTTCGCTTACCTGAGCTTCGACTGTCATCTTCTCTAAATACGACGGCGACAGCTGCGTTGAAAATTAAAGAATGCATTCGCGCTGTGCGTTTCAAGGCAAACTCCATCGCTCTTGCTCTATCTCGTTCAATTCTTCAATTGTCTAAAAAGCGAATTTTTCTGTCGTGGAGTTTTCAAAGGTACATAATTATCTAAGTTCGGAAAAATAACGAAATGTTCTCTTTAAAACGTGAAATTAGGACGTTTTTATGTCGCACTCGTGCAGCGAAGGTAAAGAAATGTTCAACAACTTTGCACGTACGGTGTACGTGCAAAGTTGTTGTTTTGGTAATCTAAGCCTATTAATTATAATTACTTAGTTGCCATTCTCGTTGCCTTCGTCGTTCGGCTTAAGCTTTCTAATTATATATAAGGGAGCTTAGACAACGACGACAGGGTAACCCGATAAAGGCTCCTGGTAGTGGGCAATGTATTGTAATCATTATACGAATTCTCCTTACAACTAAGGCTCCTTCCCCTGGTTAGGGAACTAGCCATTATTAGGAAACGGATTTCGTTTTATTGAGTTTAGTCTAAAAACAACTGAGTGTCGAAAGACTAAAAAGTAGAGACTGTTTGAAATGTCCTTCGCAAAGGATGAGATTTCATAGAAACTGAACGATAGTTTTAGCGGGAAAAATGATGATCACTGCATTAAAAACAAGCAAATGAATAAAAATCGCGATCGACGAAGCAAGGGTAGGAGGGGAGGTGGGGTTGGGAGAGTTCTTGCGTAGCATGTATTTTTTTGGTTCTATTTGCATGTTTTACCCCAGTTTGTCCTTGGCTTGCATCCTACAGCCTCTTCCGGTACTACGCAAGTTTTTTGTGTGGAATTTACATTGATAGACTTTTTTGCCGTTCTCCCGTTCTACGTTAGTCAACATCCGTTCTGGCGTATATTACAAAGTACATAGTTGCTTTTTTTGCAAAACTGATATTATGTGCTCATGAAGTGAATTTTTGCTATCGCTTGCATGACATCTGTGTTTGGCCTCCTGGTTAGGCAAAATACAAAAGTTAAGGTGTATTTAATGCCCGGTTTATCTTCTTAGATACGAGCATTCCTAATTTTTTAAAAGGCAATATTTTTGCCCTTCTAAATGGTACTTCAAACTGGACTGACGACTGATGTGTTATTAATATAACCTTGGTTCTTACCCAGAATGGCCACCTGTCATTTCTCTCAATGCTTTTTCGTCGCTATTACTTCCGGTGTATAAACAACAACTGATGTACAAGGCAGCAATATACCGATTACTTTAAGCTTTTGTTAGCCTTACTACTCAGTTACAATTTAAACTAGCGCTAGACTTAACCTCAAGTAAAGATACGACTGAAAGCAAAACGAGAGCACCAAAAATGAGAGCGCAACCAAACGAATACTGATTGAAATGAATAGCAACACGAGTCAGTGGAATAGTGGAATACCAAAATACCTGAAATAAACCTTCCAATATACCAAAAAATAAACTAAAACTTATGTAAAATACCAAAATTAAGAAAACTACGGTATACTTTATACCCAAAATTAGTCAAGAGCGATGAAGTTAGGAGTGCGAGGCCTAGCTTTTAACACTCCGACACCTGTTAGTCAAACTTCAGCAAAAAAAACCTCTGCGGTTTAAAAGGAAATGGTTATTTGTCGAAAATACTTTCACTCCTCGACTAGACAGTCCTCCAAAGAAAATTAGGGAACTTTTAACAAATTTTATTGAGAGAAATAGGTTTCAATATAGTTAAGGGATTGGAGATTACTGAGTCAAAAGATCGTAAAAGGGAAAGATGAAATTCATTGGACACATTCAAAGGAAAAAAAAATGGAGATGTTAACAATTCAGGTAAAACCAGCCTCACTTTCAC